TATATTAATATATATTTATATTATTATTAATTATTAATTTTTTAATCCGAGCGTCCGCATCGCACGACAAGAGTCAGCCATAGTTCCAACTGATAGTTCTTGAGATATCTGTTAATGCGAATATGAAATTATTAGAGCGAGTATAAAATTATTAATGTAATTTTTTGTTACGTCAATTGCCTGTTATCTAATCAAATATTTACTTGCATTACAAATGAGTGAAAATATAGTGGAATAAAGGTCAAATATAATGATATATAATTTATAATTTCAGAACATATATACATATAATATATTACAGTCCCGTATTATTTCTTACATATCTTACATATTATAATACTATACTTATTGTAATTTGAACTCCGCGTAAAAATTTTTCCGAACCTATAGTGTTTTTTACTAGTGAAGAACTAGTGCGCACTCAGTGCACAAAGCTATTGTACACTAAGTTAATTTGAATGTAAAAATGAAATATCTCAATTAAAATACCCAATGTATATTTTATCAAATATCAAATAAAATACTCATATATTAAGGATTTCACGGTTTAATTCATATCTATATTTTTATTAAACGTACATCTTTACGTCGATTTGTATACAAGTTATGCAAATAACTAATTACGTATCTTTTTCACATATATGGTAATAATAAAATTGTTTACGCGTTCATTTCGTTCGGCTTACTTGTTGCAAAGTAGTATCATTCAGTTTTACCTCATTTCCATTGGTCATCCTATATAATCGCATTGTAATTTCGCATTGATCACATAATGTTTACATGTTAACTATAGGTATATTCCATTTCATGCATAATGCATCATTTATCTTTAAATGCAAATAATTGTTTATCAAATGCAAATAAGGATAAATAAAACAATACGCGTGAAACGAAATGCTTCATCATGTATGTGCTATCAGATACTTACAAAAAAATATAACATATAGAAATTCGAATTAACCTATTGCAATAATTTTTTTACACTACTCAAAATTATATTGAAGGAAAAGAAAAGATGTTTCGTATTAGTCATGGTGCATATCATTTCGTTCCACTTTACTAAAGGATACAATGTAAGATATAAATACAGCATATTCGCCCGACTGCGTTGATTAGCACAATGTATCAAACTGCTAGATTGCGAGATCAATATTAATCAAAATTCTGGTAACGTTGCTGGTAACTGTCTAAATCTTATATTCTATATTCATCTGAAAATATTAAACAAATTTTTATAATATAATATAGAATATATTATAATATAATCCTCATAATATAATATAGAATTATAATATAATATAGAATATATTATAATATAATCCTTATAATATAATATAGTACAAAACGGTTTAGTTGTAAAATCTCGAATTTGTCATAACAATCAGAAATGTTACATACGCTGATGTCAAAACATAATAAAATCATTTTTCTCGTTAGAGAGAATATAGAAAGTCTATTGTAGATTATATACCTGTATTAAAATTATCAAGACGCTCAAAGCTGTCTCGAAAAACTGAAAAAAATGCTTTATTTGCTTTCATTACATTTAATATGAAAACAATTTTATTAAATTGAAAAGAAATTGAGCAACATAATCCATATCAATAATTGTAATTTAAAATGTATGGATGGTACTGTAATGGTAATCCAATGTACATTGCGTAATAAATGAAATACATAATAAGGCTCCATGTGGCCAAAACATACAAGTACGAGAGATATGGCCTAGGTCATCCAAGAGGATATTCAAACACGAACAAATTCCAAAATGAATCAATAATGAATAATGTTGCCAGCGCTTATAGTATTTCTGTCATAGTTCCCGAATTGTCGATTAGTAATTTGAATTAGTACCGCACGAGACACAAATGCGTTTGAATTTTTTGTCAGTATTTCAGAAAGAGTTAGTTTCTACGGATTCTGTAGGAACTTTGTGAGAATTGTGAAATACATATATTGGAGAATAATAGAATATATACATGTTAGTTAATAATATTGAGCGACAGAATAAAACGTACAGATAATTTAGATTAGATTGCTTTCTACTCGTGGAATATTTATTTATATATACATATATATTATTATTACACGATATACACAAATATAAACGTGACTATTGTTATAATAATATTACTCTCTATACTAAATTCAAAGGTGTTTATTATTTAATAAAAGGTTTTTATTTTCGACACTTTTAATGACGTATTGACTTGAGATGTAGCTAATAAAGTGTTTTATATAATGTATAGAAGTTAGTGCACACACTATAATGCTTTTCATAAAATAACATGCGTAAAATTATTTTTATAATAATATAATTTATTAAAAATGGCCCGCGTCGATTAGCATAATTATCGAATTGTTAGTGTATGTTGAGATTAATGTTAATCAAAATTCTGGTAATGTTATGTTTGTCTAAACAATATTTATTAAATCCATCTGAAAAATTATAAACAAATTTTTATAATATGATACGATATATTATAATGTAATTCTTATTATATAATATAGTATCTAATATAGTAATATACAGTATAAACATTCTAGTTGCAACATCTTAAATTTATCATAACAACCAAAAATTCTGTTTGTTTTAATCAAAATGCATTTAATATCAGCAATTTTCCACATGTTGATATCAAAATAAAATAAAATCAATATTAATTGTTAAAGGAAAAATTGAGTAGATTTTTATGCTCCTTTAACAATCAATATTGACTTTGTTCAGAAGCCGTTATTTAAAAGAATTTGTTATTAAAAGAAAATCAAACCATTCGGCATTCTGCTCATGCGTTAGAGAGAATAAAAAGTCTATTGTAGATTACATACCTGTATTAAAATTACCACGACACTTAAAGCTGTTTTGTAAAACTGAAAAAAATGCTTTCATTAATGAAAACAATTTCATTAAATTGAAAAGAATTAATATAAAAGAAGATCTCGATTACTTAAAATAACAATAAAAAATATATAAACGCAATTAAATAAGAAATAATTTAAATATTATGGATATACATATTACTAATTTATTTAAGTGAGTTCGGTCACGATATGTATATGTTCTATTACATGCTTATACTTTTATTCAAAATAGGACATACCTCGCGAATGAAAGCATATCCTAGATAGAACGGTTCCATGCCAAATTTTACCTCCCTTTGTTTTATTTGCAATATAAATTGTAAAATCTAATTGAAATAAATAATAGAATAAATGTTAGATATATTATCATTAGTACACTACCGTTTATGAACGTTTCGGACACTCGTATAAATTCTAACAAATGGTCACGTAAAGAATAAAAATATTATTATAAAATCATCAAATATATTACATTGTTAGATACCAAAAGAGCAATCCAATCTCTTAAGTTAAATAAGATTTTGTTACTTTTAACTTCTAATATGTGTCAAAATCGATCAATTTTTCAAAGTAAACATTCATATTAATAATTAATCCTCTGTTACCACACACTGATGTGAATTTTAACTTATAAAATTTTTACTTTGTTATAATGATAGAGTAGGGGACTTTGAATGTTTACCTCCTCACTATCATTTATAAAATATATCAGCGGCTCCTCCTCTATAGCGACGCATATCGGTAACAATCAAATTGGCATCTCGTGCCCGTTTCTACCAATATAGATTAACTTTAATTTAAATTCAACTTGCACTTCATCTTTTTCTAATTCTTGAAATTAGAAAAAGTGGAAGAAATATCTATAGTTGAATCAATATTAAAATTAAACTACAGTGGTGAAAACGGGCATTGATTGCCTAGCTAAATGTCTGTAAAGCAACGCGTGATGCGATGCAGTGTTATCAACATGGTCGACGAATCAGTGGCATGCTAAAAATTTTTGAAAGTAATTTGCGGATAAAATTGATAAAGATAAATGTTTTTTTGAAGTGTTTTTGTAATATTTTTGTAATGTTGTATTAATGCACAATACTTTTAAAGAAAAAAAGTATTATGACAATGTATGTCAAGGTCATTGACTTTTGAAAGGGCTGACCTTATATAAATGTTTATCCACAAGTTTGTAAATTATTTTCAGTTTTATAAGTCAAAATTCATAGAGTATAATTTATAGAATATTGATAGTATAATCGATAAATTTCAAATATTATTCTTTTTTGACATATAATAAAATAAAAAATAATTTATAAAACATTTTCTAGCCTATATATCCATACCTATAAGGTTAGTATGTAGTATACATAAGTATCTTAAAATATATTAGGTGTTGGAATTAATTCGTAGCGTTTTTTAATGAAAGAATGTTATTTATTTCACATGAGCATTAAAAAATACATTAATGAAAGTACTTCCCATCACTTGTAAAACGCTACGAATTAATTCCAACACCTAATATATAAAAGTATAATACATAAATAAGTATAATAATAAATTGCTGTTCTATAAAGTCTCAATTTTTTGCATAATCATTCGATTAAATTTATGCAGGTGTCCAAACTTTCACAAACGTTAGTAACATTACGCATAAAAGAATTAAAATTCTATAATTTTATTGTAATTATTTACCTGTTCGTGTAAGTTCTCATCGAAATTATAACTGGATAATTTGTGAAGAATCGCTACTGTCTCGTTTATCTGAAATTATTTTTATATAATGTTGAAAGTTTATAGTAAAATCGAAAATTTTACGTTCATTGCAATGAATAAGATTACATCATTTGGAGGAAACTTCAATATGTATAATTTCATTGTTGCAAAATTATTGTTTGTGCTTATTATTCTAGTTATAAATAATTATTAATGTTTTAATTTTAATATACCTTATCGTAAACAGTTTGACATACGTAGTTTAATGTGAGAAAGAAGATGCTATTTAGAATTTGAAAATTTACATTTATGAACAAGAATCTATTATCAGATATGATTATATTACCAGTATTTGTAAACAACAAATACATATGAATAAAGAAAGTCATAGTTTCTGTAAAGAGCAGTAGCATTTGTAGTAATATTTGAATGTTGAATACTTTGTTTAGTTTGCGTGATATAAGGCATAGCTGTAGGTGGACGTGTCTGTAAATAAATCGTAATTGTTATAATTATTCAAATTATAAAGACACGTACGAAAGGAAAGCGAAATATATTATTTATGTAGAGTTCGATTCAAATTATAGTTGTAATTTACGATTGCTACAAAATGTGCAATTATTTTATACAGTTGAAGTTAATTATTCTTGTATATGTATATATATATTAGGTGTTGGAATTAATTCGTAGCGTTTTACAAGTGATGGGAAGTACTTTCATTAATGTATTTTTCATATACATATACATATAGAATGAATACATATATACCTATTTCTACATTTGCTTTAAAATATCTCAAAAAGTGTAAAAGATGCAAAGAAATAATTCAAATAAAAATAGAATGATAAATTTCTAGATAGGCCTATATATAATAATTATGTTAATTTTTTTGTTATATTACTTTTTTTCTTTTTTTCACTCAGGTATCACTTTATCCTTATTGTTTACCGAACATTAAATATAGACGACATGGCACCCGGGAAGTGTCGAACATTAAATATAGATGATATGGCAGCCGGGTGGGAATCTGAACACGTCGTAAAAGTTATGAAGACATTTCCGCTTTTTAAAATGGAATTATATAATTTTTTCAACATAATACCTCGCTCCTCTATTTATTCTATATATAAAAGTATTAATATAAAAATCCAATTACGAGAAACTTTGTACTTTATTCTGGCATATGTATTGACGTGAAGTATTAAGTATCTCGTAAACTATTAATCTTTCGATAATCATATTTTAATATATAGATAGAATAATCAATTTAATTTGATATTAAAAAAATGCATAGTTGTTTTTTAAAAAAATATCTAAACACAATGAGTAATTTCATTACATTAATAATTATTTGGTTTTTTTGCCGAGGATAGTTGTTACATTGTTTAAAAAAATGATTTTTTACACTAAAATAAATAAAATATAAACTAATAAATGAAATATAAATTGAAAGATAATTTTTCAATAGTCATATACATGAATACAAAAAATTATTTTTGTAATTTAGTACCATAATTAACTTTGACGTTTTTTAAAGATATCATATAAGATGTTATAACTCTTAACAACTGGCCTTATTCCAATAACTTATAACCTTATATATTAGATAGATCGTTATAGTTATTTGAAACAGAGTTATTGGAATCAGTTATTATAGATCCGGATTTCAAAATATAACACATTTAATTTTGAAGAAATAAAAAAAATATGTATAACGTAATTTTGTTAATAATTTTCTGATTAAATACATGCATAACACGTAATATAATTATAGATATATATTATTGATATATGTTATCGTATACTTAGAGACAATTTAACGATAAAATCATTGTATAAATTATAATATCAGTCGATTTTGCTCTTTTTTATATCGAAATTTGTATATAACGGCGAAACAATGGACCCCATCAAAATATCTCATCAAATTGTCACATTTACATTTTTAAATTGTACATTCATTGCTTAATTAAAAATATATTTCAAGATGTTAATAAAACTATTTAATATATCATTGATTTATTTCACTATTCGCTATCAAAAACTGAAAATCTTTTTTGTTTCTGAAAATACACTATTCGATCAAAAATAACTTATTGTAGCTATGATGATTTTTATGCAATACTATCTTTTGTTATTTTGCATGATATTAATCAATTGGATATGCCCATATACCAACTATCCTCGGTATCCCTTACAATATCGTATAAATTATTGATTTCTTTATATTTTTATACATTTGTATACAGAATGATTAAAGAGAGAAACCATATTGTATAAAAATTCATATAATTCTATTAAAAATTGTGAAAATAATCATCATATGTTTTTGGCGTCTCTATCAAGAAAAAAATAATGTGAAAAATATGTCCTCCTTGAACGGTTGCATTCTCAAAAACATTTAAAAAAATTTTTTATACTTTTCGAGTTATGATTTGAAAGTTAAAATGAGGCACATTGTCTACATAAATATATACGCCCATGTGTATACACGCTAATTTAAAAAAAAAATTACATTATAATCCATATATAATGCATGTGATTCTTAGTTCCTGTTATCCGATGATTCACTAAAAGGCATCTGTTTTGTCCTCTATAATCTGCATTATTTTCGAAAAGATCAGAATAGAGTACATGTAAACAATCATTGACTTGATGAAATCTGGAACCTACGTATCTGAATTGATTAAAAGAAATTTAGTTTTTTTCATTGAAATTAAGATATATACGTATATTTTTAATAAATACTCAAAGTTAAACTTAAATTAGAATTTTGTTATTTTTGTGTTTAAATATGTTTCTTATATATTTGCCATATATGTATAAAATAACAGTATAAAATTTTATTATTTTTCCATTTAAGTTTTTGTATAAAACATTCTTTACAATATCTATGCTAATAATGATAAAATGTTATTTGAAATTACATAAAGTGTCTTAAAAAATTTGAATAATTTTAAAAGGTCTTGTTCAGATTGTGAACATATTGACCCATACTGTTAATAAAAAATTGCTTACGAAGTAACGGATACATACGTATATATACTAACCTGATGATAGATGCCCATATTAGAGCACTTAAGAAATGGACATATCTTGGATAACTGTATACCAGATAATGCATATGAGTGAAATATAGACCAAAAAATAAAAAGTCATCGGTATTTAAAATGGAATATTCAAAATTAAAATAAAGCATTATTGATAAATCCAAAGATATAAATACAATCCATCCGATTATTATTCGAATTATCTTGTTACGCAGCTGTTGGTATTTCTTTGGCGCTCCGAGTGTTTCCAATGTATCGTCTACTATTGAAAGTTCATGTAAGCACCCATTCAATTTCTTTAAAAAATCATATTAATTTATTATGCAATACAAAAATGAATTATTATGATTTTATATTTGAATAAAAATCGTTATTGCAATGTAACAATTTTTATAGAAAATATGATGGATAAGGAATTATCGAAATTCGATTATGAAACATAAGATTTAAAAAAGTTTTGTTAAAAGCTGACTTGAAGAAAGTAATATAAGCAGAAATATTAATTTAACAAACATATTTCGTTTACAATAAATAATAATATAAACATTAAAATTAATGTGTTTAGAAACTTTTATAAATTTCCCTGATAGCACGGAAAGTTTCAGTGTTGCTGAGATCTTCCAATGTCTCAATTGCATATCATTACATTTGTAATATTTTTGAGATTATCTTCTTTGAAATATTACAATTGTAACATTTCTGTAATTACCTAGATTAAAAATCTTGTCTGAAATGTTCCTGTAAAGTATAGTTCTTTCAACGTTTTAAATGTAAAGTTTTTGAAACTCTCAATTAATAAATGCAGCTATAGCATTATTCGATCGATCGATCATGCTCATATACACACACACACACAAGTGCTTAAAGAGAGAAAGAAGAGAGAGAAAAAGAACATCCCAAAAAAAATTTTATTTTCGTGGTTTATTTTAATGGTTACATTTTTTAATATTTTTTATTAATTTAATATATTATATAAAGCTTTAATATAATATATATGTCGTTAAAAGTAAAGTGAATATAATGAGCTTCAAAGAATTTTCCTTATATTTTTTATTCTTCCGTTTTAATACAAGGTTTTTTTTTCAAAGATAATTATGCATGGGATACTAATTTAATAATATATTATACAAATAAATCTATTATTAATAACATAAGAATAAAAATGTTGCGATTTAATAATGTATTTGCTTTTTTATTAACAATATTTATTCTCGTGCACATACGGGGCCAAGCAAAATATATCATTAAAATATTTTTAATATTAAATATTTTTAATTACAAAGTACAAAATATCTTCAACCTTTTGATTTGAAATACAAATTATTTCAAATCGAAGGACTGAAAATAATTTGTATTTTATAATTCAAATACGAGCTAATTAAAATATCATTGACATGTCAATTATATTAATTAATATTTGAATTAAATACAAATGTATTTCAAATCAAAAGATTGAAAATATTTTGTACTTTGTAATTCAGATATTAATTAAGATTCACAGTATTTTGTATTTTAAATACTTTAATGATATATTTTGCCTAGTCCTGCCCAAATATACATTTTTTTGTACATTTCTGCAACATTTTAAATGAAACTAAAGAGAACATTGCATCAACATCACCGAAAGATTTCACAAACATTTTTATAATATTTCAGAAATATTTTTTGTGAATCGACGCATTGACATTTTGACATTGTCGCAATCTTGCAGAAACTTCTCAGAAACATTACGCAAGGTAACTGCGATAGTTCCAATGCTTCAGTGTTATGTTCGTGCAACGTTAAGAAATTCTTCTGTGCTATCAGAGTTGTATTTATATAATTGTGAGATCAATGTGCCTTTCATGCTGTCAATGAAATAAGTGATTAAACAAAAATTAAGATATTTCATAAAAGTCGAATAATATTATATTAGGAATTATGAGTATGTATTAAAATTTTTACCTTAAAACGAAAGAAGCTAATAAGTATCGATGCAATCGCGGTGATGCCTATAATGTATGATCGTGACGACACTAATAGTGGTTGCCCAATGTAGTATGAGTAATAAAAGGAATATGTAAAAAAACTCCATATAACTAAAGTATATAGGCACGAGAGATATGGCCTAGGTTGTCCGAGAGGATATTCGAACACGAACAAATTCCAGAATGAGCCAATAGTCAATAATGGTGCCAGCGCTGATTGTAGCGTTTGTATCATAGTTCCCGAATCGTCGACAAGTAATTTCAATTAGTAAGGCACGAGACACAAATGTGTTTTAATATTTTTCGTAAGAATTTCAGAAAGAGTTTGTTTCTACGGATCCTCTAGCAATTTTGTGAGAATTGCACTGAAAGGTACATTGAAGAATAAAATATATATAACGTATCAGCTATAAAATATTGAGCGAAGAAATAAAATATACAGATGATCTAGATTAGATTGCTTTCTTTTAGCAAAATTTTTATTTATATGTATGAATTATTTATATTATTGTATGCATTATTTATGTGTATGTATTATAGGACATAAACGAATATAAACGTGTTCTTATAATAATATTACGTTTTTGTATTAAGTTCAAAAGTGTTTAATGGATCTTTTTTTTATGATACTATATCCACAATACGATACTGTATATCTAGCTGAATTTAAGCTGATAACTGATAAATTTCAGAAATTAATACACAGAATATATTTTTTGTAAATTAAAAATGTGTAAAATTATTTTTGTAATAATATATACAATTAAATAATAATGTAATTTGTTAAAACAACCAATAAGGAATAAAGATCATAATGATCGAGGCTGAATCTTTAATACTTTAAATAATTCCAAGTGAATTTATATATCTATATCATAGTATATGTAAATACATATATAGGTACTATATTAATAGTCATTTGAACTGCACATCGAAATCTTTCCGAATTTATAAAACGCGACAGAATTACTATAATATACTGTAATATACTGTAATAACAATTAAATTTGATGCTCAAAAGGCATCTATTACGAAGATTTTGACATGCAATATATCCAGTGATGAAGAAATAATATCGCGACGTCTATAAATGAATAAAAATATGAAATAGGCTGCTTGACATGATGCGTGAACGTTATTGCGTATGTAAAATGCTTTTTTAAACATCTCGATAATTTTTGACGAAGTTATTCTTGAAATTTGCCTGCTGCTTCTCAAGAAAATTAAAATCACTTAAAATCAGGATATTAGGAAATCAGTTAAATAGGATCAAATTCAAATTTCACATTTCTCTAAAAAATGCGAGTCGCGAATCGATAATTGAAATTCATTTTGAAACTGTAACAAATTTTTTTAATTGCAAGTTAAGTTTAATATTTTCTCTTTAAAATGATTTTTAATACACTACAATTTTTTTTCACTGAATGACTATTTGCAGTGAATAGTATTTCCTGGTCTTTTCTCTAAAAGTTTGTAAAAATTTTGCCGTTGGTATTAGTATTACTCTTGGCAAAATTTTACATACAAATTTTACATTACTTTTAGAGAAAAGACGAGAAAATACACTATTCACTTCAATTTAAAAGAATTAAAGGAAGAAATTGAGCAATCACTTTTCTTGCAATTATAGAATATCTTATTGTGCATAGATTTTCAGGAATATTCTTTTGTGATTATTAGGCTGATATTCTTAATCCGTTCTTATTTCTCTGATTGATTCATGACATCTTAAGATAATTTCTAATTGTATTTAGGACGATCTTAAATATAAGATTTACCTATGAATACCGCCCTTATTAATTAACTAGCTAAGTTTATAATAATTAATATTTGTGTTAATTTTAAAAGTGGAAAAAACGTTGAACATTTTTAGAAGAAAATCTAAAAGGGATTATATAAAAAAACCTAGCAAAACAATAAAATCCATCATCGATATATGACATTTTAGAACACCATTTAGTTCGTAACATTTGAAAAGAGCAATCTCGAGCGTCAGAAATTGTCAGAAATGTCGAGGTCTCTCGTCTTCGTAATCTATGTAAAATGGATTGCTTGAAGTTACTGGAAACTCTTGATATATTTGGCTGCGCTGGTGTTTGCATAAGTACTGAAAGTTCGCAACTGCTGCAGAATTCGTTACTCATTTTGCAGACAGAAAATCACTTTCAAAAATGTTATTATTGGGGTAGAATTAATGGGATACAAAACGACTATCATATCGCATATGGTTTTGAAAAGGATTGCATGAACGGTCAAATATATTATTACAGGTAAGAATTTCTTGGATTTCGTGAATTAAAGCTCTGTGAAGATAAGAACAAGTTTATGATATATGAAACAACTCTGTATAATTTTTGTAAATATTAGTAAAAAGAATATTCGTTAATTAATTAGAATATTGATATTGTAAAGCTGATTTTAGGTTTTGAAGAAGAGTTAATTACTTTATAAAAGGCCTTCTTTATGTCTTTCAATTTTAGGTCAATTAAAATATCAATTTTAATAACAAATTTCTGATGTCTCTCTTTGCAGTATAGATTGTATGACTTGGCTATTGCTGCCCAAAGCGACAAAAAGTGCACGATTCTTGAGCCCCCTAGCAATTAATCTATTCGAAGGCGAACCGTCCATTGTCACAAATGTTTATGATGTTAACCCACCGTTTCCGCCAAATGAGGATCCTGAGATTTATTATGACGTAATTGCGAAATGATTTTTCTTTTAAATTCTCTCCGAGAAAAATCGAAAAATTGATTGAAAAATTGTCCTCAAGAAATTTATTGTGAGAATTGAGCTATTTTGAATATTAATGTAGCCTAAAATATGTATGTATTTTAAGTTATTCTATAGAGATTCAGTTTAATTCTAGTTTAATCTAGTACAATGATAAAAATGTAAAACGGTGTTAGGGTCCCATGCCGAAGGAATTGAAAGAGGAGGATCGTCTTGCGGCCACTGTGGAACTAATCACGGAAGACGCTGCGATCATTCCACGAGGTGCCTGGTTTAAATGTCCGAATGGCGACGTAATCGAGAATTTGAGTTTCAGCGGTCTCTGTAAGATAGATGCCTCAAATTTGAAATCCTTTTTGCATGCCCGTCCCCCGAAGGAGAAGTGGAACGTGAATTTATCTTCCCGACCTGATTACAATTACGCGTTGGATTTTTTGGACAGCATAGATATGGATGTCCCTCAAGGTGCGATTTAAAAAAAAAAAAAATCGAGAGGTGATATGTTTAGTCCAATATTATAATATTATAAATGGTAAAATTTGACACAGCATTATTGTATATAATAATAGTAATAATAACTTTATTATTTACGATCTTTATAATCCGTTCTTATCTTAAGATTAAGTAATGCCTTAAGATGTTAATACAGCACTGTGATTGATTTCTAACACTTTAAGATTGTATTTAAGACCAACTATAAAAATACCGAGAGAAATCTGTTTATTAATTTTTAGAATGTTGGAATCTGCAGTTTCTCTTAGGCGATCGCACAGCCATTTTACATAGCTTGTATTGGCATGGCATGACCTTCTTCCATAAGTTGAACTCCCCACATCACGGATTTTTGTATGTCGGACATGGGAAAAAGAATCTAGACCTTCCGTTCATGATTTGATGCGAGATAAATGACTATAAAAGTACAAAATGTCATATGCATGCGATATTAATAAATGATGAATTCAAATTATTAAGCGTAACTGTATACAGCGTAACGACGATATCATTTAATTTATTTTAATGTAATGTCTAGCAAATTAATTGGTATAAAAAAAATCTAGTTGAATATTGCATCATTATTCTGTTCATAAAAGCATTAAGATACGATTATCAAAAAAATTAATTAATAGTTTATGAGATATTCTATATTTCATATAAAATGTTCTAAAATAAAGTATAAAATGTCTCGTAAACATTGATTTTTTGATAATTCTATTTTAACGTTTTTGTATGTAGAATAATACAAGAATCATATATAAAAAAAAAATCATACAATTCCAATTAAAAAAACAAAGATGATTTTCAAATCTTCAAAAATGCTCCATTAAAAAAAAAATTTAAAAAAAACTTCATCATATTATCTTTGATACTAAATGAATAGAAAAAAAATTTTATATTTTGCTCTTAGAAATCATAGTTTTATATTATAAATAATATAGTCTGTAATGTGAGATAATGCAGAGAATTGCAAAATCAATGCACTGGGTTGAATGATCGGTTAATCGATACGCGCATCAATATAATTCGTAACACTATTGTCCTTAACGTCCGCTTCCTGTCACGAAAATACATTGCTTGTCGGTATTCCTGTGTCTGACTGTGTCCGCTTTCGGTGACATTCTCGAATTCGCGACAACATTAAATTTTGTGCTTCCTGCGGAATGCGTGCATCCTCGCGTCGGTTCGTCACCCAGCATTCCGTGAAAGGAAACTTGGCGTAGCGATTAGCATAACTTGCGAGGAAACGAGCTGGGGGAGTCGTATCGTATATTCCTGATAAGTCAATTTTATGTCGTAATAGGAGAGAATAAAATGCGATTCTGTTAATATCAATTTAACTTTAATATTTAATTAGGTATCAATCGCTGGTGAAAAATTTCCATGAAATTATTTCACCTTTTGAAATATTTTAGTGAAATTGATGAAAATTTATTGAAATTTCATTAAAAATGAATTTCTAGCATACTAAAAAAATCGCTAAAATTAAAGTGAAATTTTACTAAAAATTTTACTAATTATAATTTAAAAATCGCTGAAATTGAGCTTAAATTTTTTCTGAAATGCTGAAATTTTGTTGAAAATGTCCAAAACATTTCAGCGAAATTTTTCCATCAGAGATTTAATGTCAAGAAAACGATATAAGATAGAGTGATGCTTTTTCATCCATTTCTCGCGATAATATTTACATATGTTTCTAAACAATACATATTGAATATTTAAAAGTTGTACTTATGTTCTCAAGAGACAATCCTGATTGACTGTATAATGTAGGGCACTTGACACTATATAAATGCTTGGAAGTTTTTGATTGACTAATCGGAAGAAGGAATTTTACTAATTGAAATAAAAAAATGTTTTGAAGAGTTCGAGCAACAAGTGAACCGTAGTCATAATTGTAAGCATTTCACTGCAAAGAGATATTGTTTGCCATCGTAAAAATTTGTATATTACTTTAAAATTGAAACTGACAGAAGAGCCTCGGTCTATTCAATTGTGAGACATTAGAAAGATGTTCCAATTACATGAGAAGGACACAGATTTTTCAAATACTGAGAAAAATTTCTGATTGAAAATGGACAAACCATTATATCAATCAGAATTCTAATAATCTTAATTAAAATTATAATAGATTCATTTATATTAGATCAGAAAATTTTTATTTGTTTACTTTCAATCAGAACTTCAATAATTACAATCAGACTCTTTTCACACAGTGAATATACTATATAATATACATCAGAAATATCCCAGATAACTAATAGTTTCTTATAAGAAAGAAAATAGTTACTTGGCACAAATTTCCTTTCAGTTGCCATAAAAATGTCCACAATCTATTTGTAAGAGGGATCTGTTGATTGTTGAGTATTGTTATCAAATTGCTTGTACTCGTTGATAACCATAAAAATCGACAATCCAATAGTAGACAAAAGTAGAAGTCGCTTTCCTCGATATATTGCGAATAATTTAAATAACTTGTCTGGGATATTTTCTATTATTTTACATGCAAATTTCCCATTATTCCATTTATATTCGCAGAAATATTTTGGCAAGTGTGCGCGCCGATTTTAAATTTGCATCAAGAAGTTTCGTTTAGTTTATACCTACATAAATTTTTCCTAATTTGTTCAAATTCTCTTAAAAAAACGTCGAGCGAAACATTGTTGATTGTTCTACTTGTTAAACAGCTCATAAAAAGCATTCAATTTTAGTTACGTGCCGTAATAATTCACATTTTTGATTTGCTACAATTTTGAAAATGTCCTATGACGTCACACGCTGCTTGCAACGTCACGCGTTCCCGCTCGCCCCGCCGCCATGACAGTTTTCGCAACCGACAGTACAAAAACATGTAGCACGATCGATCCTCGATTAATTGTGAATTTTACTTATTATCAGTGTACGGTGACTAACAATTTTCGTCGGGAGTGTCGATTATAGTGAGGAACGATTGTTAGAACGTGTCGGTCATCGTGGATCGTCGCGATTAGTGTCGTTTTTTGACGATTGCTTCATATCGTGAAATCGATATCGTTTCGGTGAGTACAGATTTCGATGATGTAGGCAGTGTAGATAATGGGCAGCTTTTCTATCATAAGCGGGAATGTGATAATCCATAAAAATATCGAGTGGAATTGCGCATAAATACATTAGCAGCGAATTTTTTACACTCTTGCATTGAAAATAAATTTACTGAATTTTATTAAATATTGGTTTGAATAGTACTTACGAAATATTTCTACGTTCCAATTTTTATTCAATTTTATTCAATTTTTATCCAAGTATAATATTTTTTTTTAATTTTTACGCCAAGGTGTACTTCGATTCTGTAACTTTTAACAACAGTTCAGTATTGTTATATCTTATTGCGCAGCAATTTTTCTCTTTATCTTTTATATAATATTTGCACAACGACAGTATAACGATACCGACACGTTACTACATAATTTAATTTGAAGATTACAGTAATATTGAGATCTTAGAGAGTTTCATGCGATCCTTGGAGTCGATGTATATCTTGAAACGAGGTAAATTACAAAAATGAGTGAATTTATTCATAATAGCTGCTTTTAGCACAGAAAGTATAGCAACAACTGTTGTAAAATTCTTTAATATGATTGATTTATACATTTAGATCCAAAGGAACTAAGAATACGACAATAATTCATATTGAAGAATTTTACAGCAGTTGCAAAACTTTATCTGCTGAACGTAGACAACTTCATTGATCAACATTTAGAAAATTTCCTCACTTTTATCATTTTCACCTTGTATAGATACACAATCAACTCTAAGGGGTCTGTTTTTTATTGCTGCACTCTGAACCAGTGCAATAATAAAAGTGAAACAAACATATATTTGTTTTACTTCAACTTATTGCACTGTGTGTACTAGTTCAGAAAGTGCAGCAATAAAAAAGATCTCTAGATTCGTATCGATCACGTTAAAAAAAAGCGCCAGATCTTCAGAGTGAATTGAATAGTACGCGTTTCGGTTGCCGGCGTTGCAGCGTTTTGAATTTTCCGCCTGTGCGGTCGTCCATCGTCGTTCGCCGCGACGGCGTCGGATGGCGCCACCAGTCTGACGAGTGTCGGTGCATTTCAACTTAACCTACCGGGGGAGACGCACAAGCGCAGTTGAACCGACCAAGTCGGAAACGCAGTGACCCGGCGTCTCGACGAGTGAAGTGTCCGTTGATTGCGGAGTGATCCTGACGTTGCGGCCTGTGCCTTCTTGCGAATTTGACGAGGATACCACGCCGCATACGGTGAGTGCTAGTGAGTAATCGCGTCGTGCTCGCGAATCCACCCGTCGCCGTGCCGGGATTTCCGTTACTTCGGCCGCGAGGACTCCGTAAAATTGCGTGCGAACGCGTCTGGCCGGCCCGAAGGGAAGCCGGCTTCGCGAAGGCTGATCTCCCGAATCTCCTGGGCGATCACATAGAAGATCTCGGGAAAAATCTCGATAAATCACGCGTCTTCGATCCGACTTGAAATACTCAGTATCGGTCCATTTGGATTGCTTCTGGAAAAAGCACATTTTTCCCCCTTTTGAAACTGTTCTCCTACCTCCCGCGACTGGTGCCATAGGCGGGTTTTGCTATTCGTACGTTTTGCAAGTCGAAACACACGCAAGGACTCTTCCGGTTTTCTGAGAATTTTCTGGAGTACTGCGTATTTCTCAAGACTTTCCGCGAAATAGAAATAATCATCGTGATGATGAAATAATAAAATATTTAACAGGAGCACGAACCTATTTCCGTTAATTATTAGAATGGAAATTTATGGTAAATTAAGACGCATATATTGAATAAATTGTAATTGTAAAGAATAATGTCGAGATTTTTGTCGAGAGTCTTTCGATCGATTTACCGTTAAATTTTAACGAAATGTTCGATTTTAATTGCGCACCTAGATGTAAGATATTTATTGTCGTCTCTTGTTTATGAACATTCTCCCTTTTTTTGTGTTTACGCGATAGCATTTATGCGACGTGTCGTCGCGCTCGATTCAAGGTTAGCAGGGTCAAAGAGAATTACGGACCTGTCGTTGCCTGGCAAGAAGCCCTTTCGAGAAATGCGTAGAGGGCAGTTAATTCTGTCCCGAGTCCATCCATTTCCCATTTTGTTGCTTTGGTGACATCTGTTTGACGCGATAAAAAGTTTATATTAAATGTGTAATGTATGCTGAACATTATGCGTGAGTCGATATTTTTCTGAAGTCTCGTACCAAACGGATAGGATGATAAACGAAATATTTAGCACGAACTGAAAAATTATATCTGAATCTGGAAGAGCACATATTTGATATACCTTTATTTAAAATACAGTATTTGCAATACAAGTGTATTTTGTATTTCAACGGAGCACATTAAAGTATTTTGTATTAAAATTGAAAAATCGATTTTCTATATTTTGTGATTCAAATAATAAGATTGATTG